TCACAAGGTTGGAAATTGCCCAAAGAAGCAAAATTGGCACCCTGTCAAGACTAGAAGTGCGATGATTCCGGAAAACGACGACGCCCAGCCACAGTAGGAACCGTGCGGCTGGACAATCTAATATCACGACAACAATCAGGTTCCTCCTTCTCTGTCCAACCTGCCCGTTGTTTTACAATTCATTTGTTTTGAGGCCCTCAAAAACAAAAAACTTTAGCTTTATTGGATTCGGGGGCATCTACTTGTTTTTTAGATGAAGAGTTTGCTAAACGCCACAAGATCCGTTTAGTACAGAAGTCCAAACCTGTTCACGTAGAGGTGATAGATGGACGACCCTTATTGTCAAGCAACGTTACCCACGAATCAGAACCTATAGAAGTGGTGTTTAAGGACCATAATAGTCACGTTATTTTTAATATTATTAGAACCCCATCAAGCCCTGTTATCCTTGGTCTTTCTTGGTTAGAAGATCATAATCCGTCCATTGATTGGAGGCTATGAAGGATAACATTTCCTGAAAAAAATAATAATAAACCTGTTGGTAGAACCTACATGAAGAAATCCATGTTTATTGGAGCGAGAGCGTTCCTAAGATCGTCCAAGGAAGGCGCACCATTTGTCATTTATGCAGCTCCAACTAGCGGCGAGAATATCTCAACATCGAATATACCAGAGCAATATAGGGATTTTGAAGACGTGTTTCAGAAGAAGAACGCCGATATACTGCCGGAACATCGACCATATGATTGCGCCATAGACTTAGAGGAAGGAGCGCAACCACCTTTTGGTCCAATATACAACCTATCGCAGACGGAGTTGGCAGAATTGCGGAAGTACATCGATGAGAATCTAGCCAAGAATTTTATTCGACATTCAAAGTCGCCAGCTGGAGCACCAATCCTATTCGTGAAGAAAAAGGATGGCTCACTGCGGATATAAGTGGACTACCGAGGACTCAACAAGGTGACCAAGAAAAATCGCTATCCCTTACCTTTGATCTCCGGCCTCTTAGATCAACTTGGACGTGCAAGGATTTTTACAAAGATTGATTTAAGAGGAGCCTACAACCTTGTGCAAATCAAAGAAGGAGATGAATGGAAGACAGCCTTTCGTACAAGGTATGGCCATTTTGAGTACAATGTCATGCCTTTTGGTCTTACCAATGCTCCAGCGGTCTTTCAGCATATGATGAACGACATCTTTCGGGAGTACCTCGATGACTTTGTTGTCATCTATCTGGATGATATTTTGATATTTTCCAAGAATGAAGAAGAACATGAGAAGCACGTTTGTTTGGTTCTTGAAAAACTACGCGAACGAGGACTCTACGCCAAGTTGGAGAAGTGTCAATTTCACCAGAATGAGATGGAATTATTGGGCTTCATTGCGACTACAGAGGGCTTGAAGATGGATCCAAAAAAGGTGGAAGCAATTATATCTTGGGAAGTTCCGAAGACGGTTAGAGATGTTCAGTGTTTTCTTGGATTTGTTAACTTCTATCGGATCTTTATCAAGAATTATTCTCAAGTTGCTGCACCACTCACGCGTCTAACAAGCAAAGACAAGCTCGAATGGAGATCACAAGCAGCAAAAGCATTTCAAGATCTCAAGACGGCATTCACTATGGCTCCAATCTTGGTACACCCTGACTTTGCAAAGGCTTTCTATTTAGAGACCGATGCTTCAGATTTTGCTTTGGGAGCTGTGCTTTCACAGATGGGCATAGACAAGAAGCTTCATCCAGTTGCGTTCTATTCAAGGAAGTTCTCTGCTGCTAAGATCAACTACAAGATCCACGACAAAGAGCTGCTTGCTATAGTGGATGCCTTCCAAGAGTGGCGTCACTTCCTCGAAGGAGTTGCACATCCAGTGACTGTTTATACGGACCACAAGAATTTGGAGTACTTCATGACAGCTCGAATTTTGAATCGTCGTCAAGCTCGATGGAATATGTCTCTATCACGATTTGACTTTATTATCACCTACCGCCCTGGAAAACAGCAAGGATTATCTGACGCATTATCGAGGAGATCGTATCTTGCGCCAAAGGCTGGAGAAGCAGCATTTGATCAACAATGTACAACATTGTTGAAACCAGAAAAATTCAGGATTTTTGCTACTGTTGCAACTATCGATGACGGCTTCTTCAGCGAGGTACGTACTGCGACCATTGAGGATTCTATAGCTCTTGACATCAAACAACGTGTCGATAATGACAAGTTTAAGGTGGAGGGAGATCTTCTGTATTTTGAGGAGCGGTTGTATATCCCAAAAGGACCAACTCGACTCCGAGTACTTCAATCTCGCCACGACTTTCCAGCTGCGAGACATTTTGGATTCAACAAGACTTTGGAGCTCATTTCACGAGATTTTTGGTGGCCCCAAATGTGGAAGGATGTGAAGGAATTTGTCCTTTCTTGTGATGTTTGTTCAAGATCTAAGATCCCTCGACATCGTCCATATGGACTTCTCCAGCCATTGCCTATTCCGCACCGACCATGGTCTTCAGTTTCTATGGACTTCATTACGGACCTACCGCCATCGAATTCATTTGACAGCATCTTTGTTGTCGTGGATCGATTTACAAAGATGGCGCATTTCGTGCCTTGCAAGAAAACATCGTCAAGTGAAGACACCGCAAGACTCTTTCTTGATAACATACATCGTTATCATGGCCTACCAGATGATATCGTGTCGGATCGAGGTACTCAGTTTGTATCCAAGTTTTGGAGGTCCCTCTTTGAGATATTGAAGGTGGATATTAAGCTCTCTTCGGCTTTTCATCCTCAAACTGACGGTCATATTTTACTTGTTGATAGTTGATGCTGCATCGTAAATATTGCTCCAAAATCTTGCCAATGCACCAAAAAAGGTACAAGAATTTCATCAACGATATCCTCATAAACCTAAGCCGATTCAACGATAGCTTCTTGCTGAAGCTTGCTCATCAAGTAGCATAAAAAGGGGGAGGCACCTCCAAAACCCATAGTTCGATAGTGTAGAACTTTATTAGCAACTATAGTTTGCTCTCATCATTTTAGCCTTTGGACATGGATAGTCAAGATACTACACTTGTTATGTCATCTCAAGCGACTAGCTCACGAAGACGACCGCGAGATGAAGAACCGCCTGCACCACGACGACGTCGGAGGATACCGAGCAACAGATCGCTAGTAATTGTATTTGAGGTCGAGCCTGCCTACAACGGTCAGCCAGAAGGTGTGTTTGGAGGACAGTTTCACAATGAAGACACAGAAGTCCACGCTTGGTCAGAGGTTGAAGGTGTTGGTCACTACCGTTGGCTCCAAGGGCCGATGAATCATTTGCCTCGCGAACAACAATTGGAATTCATAGCGGATGTGATGCGACAGATTTTCATTTTCTTGCGTTGGTATTGACTGATAACAACATTGCTTCTCGAAGACCTCGAAGTTAGAAGAGGAGGTGATGTCATGGACATACATTGGAAGATTCTTTGAATATTCTTCTAGAATATTCTCTAAAGATTCTCTAAAGATTCTTTTAGAAGGTTCTAGAAGATTCTTAGAATATTCCCTAAAGATTCTCTTAGAAGGTTCTAGAATATTCTTAGAAGGTTCTAGAATATTCTGATGGATTCTAGGAAGTTGCTCGAGAAGTTTCCTAATTAGTAGAAGTTGTTGGAGAAGCGTCCTAGTTAGCGGAAGTAGCTCGAGAAGCTTCCTATTCAGTAGTATATATAGGAGTCGAGGCTGAAGGGTTCTTCAGTCTCGACAACACATTTCTTGGAGTTCTAGTTCACCTTTCTGGTGTTGTTTTTGTACTCATCTGTTTAATCTAGTTTTGCCACTTCTTCTTGAACTTCTTGTTAGATTTCAAGTCTGTATTTTGTGTCCGTGACAATTTGTATATAGTGTTGAAAGAAACATACCTTAATTGTTGATATTTGACTCCAACTTTTGCTTGCACCTTTCTTCCTCTATAATACACTAAGACCCTAGAACCCTAATACCCTATGACCCCGGAATTATAACACCCTAAAATCGTAAAGACCTTAGAATCCTAAGGTCCTAGAATCCTAAGACCGTAGAACTCCTAAGACCCTAGAGTCCTAACACCCTAAGACCTTAGAACCCTAGACCTCAAAACCTTAGAATCCCCAAGTCTCTAGAACCTCAAGATCCTAAAACCCACATCCCATTTAATGAGCCTGGATGACAAATTTTGCAATGCCACATATCCAAGATTTATTCTGGCTAAGCAAAATTTGGTACGCATTCCAACTCTATACAGAGTTCTCACGTCATAACAAATATAAAACTCAAATTCCAAATTAGGATCTTCAAATCCTAATCAGGGTTCCTAAACCCTACATTATGAAATATGAAACACATAGTTTTGAAAAACAAAGACGTTTATAAAGGTCTTTGGGACAATATAACGCTTGGCAAAATTTTAAAATTTTAAAATATGTGATACGTTGACATTGAGAGATATATAGGATCAAAAACCTTGAAGACACTCTTATAACCCTAAATCCTAAACCCTAAAACCTAACCTCTAAACCCAAAACCCTAAAACCTGGTTTCTAAACCCTAAATTCTCAAAAATTAAAAACATAATTTTGAGAAACTAAAATCATTGTATAGGTCTTTGGAACAATATATACCTTGACAAATTTTCAAAACCGACAAAACTATCATAAATTAAAAGATATTTAGGATCAAAAACCTACACGACACCCTTGTAATTCTAAACCCTAAACCCTGGACACACTTGTAGCCCTAAACCCAAATGAAACATCCACAAATTGTAGACACAAGCTTCAAATCTCACTATCCTGTTAAAATTCTTTAACCTCTTTTCCCTGAAGACTCCACAACTTCCTAACAATACTAATTCCCTTGACACTTGACACGTCCCTCAAGGCAAATGCGATTCTCTAAATTACTTACACAAGGCACTGCTCACATGAGCTTAGACATCAAACCATCCTTCAGGCTCGAATGAAGAGACAGCACTGTTTCAAAAGTGTACAATTTTATTTTGCTAATGCAACAAAAGGATCCAGGCTTGGAGGTAACCAAAACCTTCAAGCTTCATAGATGCACATCCATGCACTGTATGCCGGTAACCTCAGCAAATACAGACACAAGTGGGATAGATATCATACTGATCCTACAGAGTAATCCAATCTGTACATCACCTTACGAGTAACCTCCACTGAAGAAAAGAATCCCCAGTAGCAATCTCTCTACAGCAACCTAGACCCTCCATTGCAGCTCATTCCTCTAATCTAAAGATGTGAAAGGGTCAACAATTCTCGTCAAAATTAAGGAATTCAAAACCCCACGAAGGAGGTATTCTTCTTCTGTACTGAAGCCTACAAAGCAAATTATACTAAAACTTTCATTACATACCTGCAAAAAGAACATAACTCCATCAACAAAGTATAACACATTCCAGCTTACTCTTCAATGGAGCTTAGCATTTAGCTTTGAACATCAAAGTTCCTAATAACCATCAGAAAATCGTAAGCCTTCCTTCGACCCAGTTTTCTGAAATCTCATGCACTTTGCAAAGCTCCACATGCTGCTCAACCCAAATGGTGAGAGAATAAACTTACACGCCTAAATGTAAGAGATGATCGAGGACAAACCTGACATTTCTTCATCGACTTTTAGCCAAGGGTCCTCCAATGCCGTATTTGCATCGACCTGTTTGGACATGAGCCTGGAAATAAACTGCTGGGCAGAAGGTGACCGAGTGAAGGTTGCAAATTTGTCGCCAAGGAGTTTCCCAAGCTGATACATGTCGGACTTGGGCGTATAGTGCGAGTTCTCCAACATGTCCCTGCTCCAGTCCGTCAGGTAGTGGAACGAGGGATGCACGAAGAAAGGAGATTCTGCAACTGTCTCCAAATCGATGAGCATGAACTGCCCATGTGTAATCTCCACTATATTTGGAAGTCGAACATCCCTGTGAACAAAGCCCTTCTCATGGAGGACTTTCAAGGCGTTGCACACACTCTTGGCCAACATCTTGGTATCCTCCTCAGACCTGATCCTAGGAGAGTATCCAAGAGGACCAATTGTAACCTTGTAGCTATCTCCTCCTCGTCCTAACTCGGGCTCTTCAATTACCATCGGAAGATACGGGCTCCCTTTCACATCATTGTAGGCTCGATTAACGACATTAAAATCAGTTGCAGTAGCTTCGCAGTAACTTTTAAAATTCTTTATCTTCTTACGGACACTGTCATTCAAGAAGTAGATGGTGCAATCTCCCTGCACAAGCGACGAAAACATCGCATGGCGCCCTGGAATGGGAGGGATTTTCTCCGCCATTTTCCTCACTAAAGTAAAGGCGTTGAAAATACTCAGGATCAACAAGATTCGGTTGGGTATCTTTGCCAGGTCAAGAAGTGGTTCAATACGTACCAGAGACCTATCCTTTCCAATAAAAACCCATTGAAATTTGGTACCGGCTGCTATATACCCCAAAATGAACCGCAGGTCTCCATAAAATCTTGGGTTAAGTGGCTGCATTTTAAGAGAAATGCCGTTTTCCGCTTCTGACAAGTCGGATAGCTTGTCTTCACCGACAAGAAATGTGCACTGAGACATTACACCGAGCGTATCAGGCCTCTTGCGTGATAGTGTTGCATTGGATTTCGACAGTGATAGCTTTTCACTTTTATTGAAAGTCAAATCGAGGGTAGCACCGTCCAAGCTATACTCATTACAAGCGTTGAAAAACCTCCTTAAGTAGCCTTGAACTGTATATGAAACATCCATCTCCGATTTTGGAGCGATAGTTGCTTCCTCCAAGGTGCTGGACAAGGACATGGATAACGTCGAAACATCTGTCACGCGTAAAAACTCCTCTGCGAACTTAGGAAACCGGTTTCTGATTCGAAGGTAGGTTTTATTTACAACAGGAAGCTGCCCGTGCTGTTCCCCGTGCCACGAAGGAAACAGCACCCGTGCTAGCCCAACTCCATCTTGTGGGAGCTCAATCACAGGTGGGAGCAACAACCCCTCGAGCAATTCCGCGGAATGATCAATGGAATCTGGTAATAAAGCAACGCAGATGGAACTCAAAAACTGGTCAGGAACTTGAGAAGAAGCGAAACATTTCAGAGACAACCAATCACCAGCCAAATTCGTCTAGTACTGGAGCTCCTTACAGACTGAAACCACCAAACAAGACCATCGTCGAACAAGAGGGAACTGAATTAATGAAAGGTCTCCGTTGAAGGAAATTAAAATGGAAAACACAATCCAGAACACCTAACAGAGGGCCCGCTACGGAACAATCGAGGTCAATGAAGTTAACTATGCGAACCGTAATTCCATAACAAGGACAATAACCTTCGCCCAAGCATCCAGCAGCCCCCGGGAACATAAAAAGACAATGAAGATGAAGAGATGGGCGAGTGATAGAATTGACCTCGTTCTTGCAGGATTTGCACCCTAATTTGCGCTTTCTCATCTCGGAGTTGCGCTTTCTCATCTCGGAGTTGGGCTTCTTTGTTTCGAAGTTGCGCTTTCTCATCTCGGAGTTGCGCTTCTTTGTGTCGGAGATGTTTCTTCTCCTCATCATCACGGCATCCGTCGATCTGGACTTCAACTCTGTCTATCTTCTGTTCCACTCTTCTTATCTGGTCCTCCACACTTCGTATCAGCTCTTCCAAATTTTCACCACCGTCACCCATTCTCCTCCACGACCCAATTCAGTAGGGAACCCACAAGAAGAGCCCGATCCGAGGAACACGACCCTTCAAACCCCTGGACGATGATCGCTCCACGCTACTCTCACAACACAACTTCTCATCACCGTTCCGGACCAGCTTCAAGTAGCCCCGCACCAGCATCGATGTGCAGAAAACTTATCCATATCAACGTCCAGAGTGTTGATCGGCATCGATGTCCAGCAACTCACGCCCCTCGTGAGAAAGAAGTAGATGAGTTGAGGGAAAGGAGACGAAACAAACCCTAGATCGAAACCTCGAGGAGCACCCCCATACCCAGATCGAAACTGTCCAGTACCCAAGGCAAACGAACCCTAACCACGTCCAAACTATCACTTTACCAAACTAGTCGTAGGATAGGTGTCGAATTTTGGAAGCACCAGCTTCAGCGGATGGAGTAGAAGTTTGGCACGATAGAAAAACCTAGCCTCCTGTTTTAACCCATTAAGGTCACAGGACGTCTGAGCTTTTGAAGATTTGTGAATTTTCATTAAAAAATGCAACTTGTGCAGAAAAACTTCCTCTCTGGACTTTAATGTAAGGAAGGCAAAACGAAAGTATATTGTGAACTTCAATTTCGTTAGTTTGTTTTCTTATCAAAGAATAACTTACTTCACTACAACATTTGAGTGAAATGGTTAAAAGTTGGCACATTGTAATATTAGGGTATATTTTATCCAAATTAGCTAATATATTACAGTATTCCAATCCAATTGCTAATCGTATTGTACAATTTCAACTTTTGTTACTTGATTTGAAAAATTTTGATTTTGATTTTATAAAATCAAGTTTAGGTAAATTTATTGATAGAGATTCAGTAAGTATCATAGATGATGGTACTTTATTAAGTGTATTTGAATTTAAAATAGAAATCGAAATTAAATTTTTTGGTGCTTTTGGTAATATTCTTTTTTTTATATCATCAATATTAGATTTAAATATTTTTTTAGATAATGGTTTAGTAATAATTCATATATCTACTTGATTTATAACTATATTTGTCATATAATTAACATCTTTTGGTATTTCATTGATCTCCATAATTTAAACTTTCTTTTTTTTCACCCAATCTCTTCCTAAAGGGAAAAAAAATAAGGATTGATGCCATATATTCTTTTGCTATATGATTGTATTGATGATACCTTCTACTATAAAGTATATAATCTTCTTGTTTTTATGGATTTGGGCATTTAGTGAAATAATGGCTTGATTCTCTACATTAAAAATAAACCATATATATATATATATATATATATATATATATATTTCTTTATAATTATCTACATTTATTGATTTTGAAGGATTACTAGATAGTTTATTCTAAATTGAAGGATTATTGTAAGTGTCATTCTATCTAAATCTTCTATTATTGGATTTATAAGGTGGCTTGTATTTGGCTTGATCAATGGTTTTTTATTTGGATTAATAATCTATGGTCTAATGCCATTATTTATTTGATTTATATTTCTACCATGTAACTTCTAACATTGTTCAACATCATATCTTTCTGTACAGTAAATACATCTAAAATCTTGATTTGGTGGTGAAGGACATTAATTAATCCGAAGGCCATGTCCTGTACTATTAATACACCAAACATTACATCTAGTTTTTATAGGTGGTGGTCTTTTATTTTTATAAGTAACCATATTTACTTTTAACTCCATAAAATATTTAGCTAAATTTAATACGATCTCTTTAGTTTTATTTATTAATGGAGCTACTTCAATTGTAATTATTTAAGAATTATTAATAGATTCTACAATTGGTCTCAATCTAAGTTGATTTGGTGCCAAACTAATTCAAGTTTGAGGTTTCATACTAGGATATGTAGAAAGTTCAACATATGGTGTATAATCTTCATTTACTCAAGCTTTCTTTCATGATTTAGTAGTTTGATATATACTTACCAAACCTTAAGGTCTTCTTTCTTTTCACTTCAGATAGATGTAATCCATGAATAAAAATATTTGTTAAAAATGAGTCATGTATATTATGATTAGTCGATCTCATTAAGAGATCTTCCATCCTTCCATAAAAAGAATCAAGACATCCTTCTAATTTTATTTTTATATTTTTTAATTGTTCTCTCAAACTTTCAATAAATCTCAATAGACAATATTAAGTTGTGAAGATAACACTCATTGCTTTCCATATGTTAAATACAATTTACCTTTCCAGCTATGAAATATCCCTAATATTGACAATTCTTCAATAAATCCCCACTCCCCCACCTCCCTCAAAGTACCTTGGGCGATTTCAATGTGCATCATTGATATCCCAAAGAGGCATGTCGATCATTGTGATGAGCAGGAGATTGATTTGAAGTGCATCCAGGAGCTGGAGAAGAGCAACAAGGTATTCAGGAAGAAGGGAGGCATGGAGGTTAGATTCTCCAATTAGCAAACTGTCGATTGATCCAAGGGCGGTGTCACGGACATACATATAATTACCTATATGAATAGATAAAAGTATGTAAAAGTAGGTTAATTGTGTAATATCTTCTAGAGAAGCTTCTTAGAAGCTTCATAGACGCTGCTTTGACTTTATAGGAGTCTATAGTTGACTTTTAGGTTAGAAACTTGGTCAACAAGTTAGCCATGTGCCACGCATGTTAGAAGCTTAAAGAACAAGCTAACTACGTGGTCCATCCATAGAAAACTTGCCTTGCAAGCAAAGGCATGTGGCCTAGAAAGTCAACATATATTGGAGGTCTTATAGAACATCGCCACGTGGCTTCTAGTTAGATAGTATATATAGAGGCAAGAGTGAAGCCCTCTTCACTCTTGTCAACTCCTTTCTTGCTTCTAGTCTAGTTTCAAGGGTCTCTAGTTTTCTTGTATTTTGGCAATAGCCATTCTAATTTCTTTCTTAATATACATATTTCTATTTAGTCCTATTTCTTTGAGAAAAGTCTCACTTACTCTTTAGCTTTCATCGAGTTCTTGTCCCTGACAGATTGACAAGAGTACACTTACAATATCAGAGCTTTGTCTTTTCTTGATTAAGAGTGGATTACCCCTTTTTCTTGATAAGACATAAGCGCATTAGAAGTTGCGGATTACCCTCTTTTAAACTGATATTGTTCTTAGTATTTTCTTTGTTATCAATTCCTCTCTACTATTTGTTTTGAGCGTTGTTAGACATCTTCTCTTTTCTAAGTGCTACTATGGCAGAGCTTGTTGAAATGAAGAGTGCAATGGCACAGATGCAAGAACAATTGAGGGAGTTAATGCTTGCGATGCATCAACTCAATTTACCACCACAAGGAGCAACAAGAATGGTAGGAAGTGAAGATATAGAGATGATTGGGGCTGCTTCAACATCTGCACCAAACCATGTCCCTTCTCCCAGAATGGAACACCCTTCGAGTGTTAGAGAACCGAGAGTTGCCTTGCCCGAGAAGTTTGATGGTACCAGATCCAAGTTTCGAGGATTCATCAATCAGGTCCAACTAGTGATTGAACTTCAACCCCAGAGCTATCCAACTCCAGGGTCACAAGTAAGATTCATTGGTACACTTCTTTCAGGTTCAGTATTGTCATGGTTTTCATCTTTTCTTGAACGACGAGATCCAATATTGGATAATCTGGAGGCTTTTTTGGCAGAGTTTCGATCCATGTTTGGAGAACATGATGCAATTCGTGTTGCAACCAACAAGATCCGTATTTTGCGACAAGGCAATCGATCAGTAACATTATATGCTTCGCAATTTCGACAACTTGCAACTGATATCAAGTGGGATGATGCCGCACTTGTGAGTCAATTTCTCTACGGATTACAATATGAGGTAAAGAAATTGATGCTTAATTTACCTGATCCTCAAACATTGAGTCAAGCAATTGACTTTGCTGTGAAGTGCGACAATCGACTTTTTGAATTTTGATCCGAGAGTCGCACAAGTAGGCCTCAACGTTACTACAATTCAATGGCAACACCGACGTCTCCTCAACACATACCTTCAGAAGTGGAGGATATGCAAATTGATGCGGTACGTTTCAAACCTCTTACTGAGCAAGAAAAGTCTCGTCGTCGACAAGAAGGATTGTGCTTATATTGTGGAGAACCTAAGCACACTGCTCAACATTGTCCAAAGAAGCGACATAACTACAAAATGAGGAGTACGGCTATCAAAGAAGACAGTATGTCAGAAAACGAGTACGTCCAGCTACAATAGGGACCGTGCGGCTGGAATCTTGTACAACTTCTAATGAAGGTCCTATCCTCTCCTCAGAACCATCTCCTTGTTTTATAATAGATGTGCGTTTAGGACCTAATAATTACAAAGCCTCTGCCTTGATAGATTCAGGAGCCTCAGCTTGTTTCTTAGATGAAGAATTTGCTAGATGTCATAGAATATCATTAATACAAAAAACTAAACCTGTACACGTAGAAGTCATAGATGGTCGTCCGTTGTCTTCTGGAGATGTAACTCACGAAACACTTCCTGTAGATGTAGTAATAAATGGTCATAGTAGTTGCATAATTTTTAATATAATTAGGTCTCCCTCTAATCCAGTAATTTTAGGCTTATCATGGTTAGAAAAGTATAATCCTCGAATAGATTGGATTTCTCGTAAACTTGATTTTCCTCGGAGCATTAGTAACAGTTCTATTAATCAAGTAAAAAATCATGAGTCTAGTATAGTAAAACCCGCACTTATAGGTGCAAAAGCATTTATACACGCAGCAGAAGAAGGATCAACTTTTGCTATTTATGCTGCACCTATTTCTGAAAGCGTAAAGACTTCAAGTGGCATTCCAAGTCAATATCAGGATTATCAAGACGTTTTTGAGAAAAAGAATGCAGATATTCTTCCTGAGCATCGCCCATACGATTGTTCAATCGATCTCAAGGAAGGAACTCAGCCACCATTTGGACCAATTTACAGTTTATCGCAAGATGAGTTGGTTGAACTCAAGACATATATTGACGAGAATTTAGCGAAGAATTTCATACGCCATTCAAAATCTCCAGCAGGAGCTCCAATTTTATTCGTAAAGAAAAAAGATGGATCTTTACGAATGTGTGTTGACTATCGAGGACTCAACAAGATCACAATCAAGAACAGGTATCCATTACCTTTGATATCAGGACTCCTTGACCAGTTAAATCAAGCTAAGATCTATACAAAAATAGATCTAAGAGGAGCATATAATCTAGTACGGATCAAAGAAGGAGATGAATGGAAGATTGCGTTTCGAACCAGGTACGGGCATTTTGAATATAATGTCATGCCTTTTGGACTCACGAATGCACCAGCTGCTTTTCAACATCTCATGAATGATGTATTTCGTGAATTCTTAGACAATTTTGTCGTCTGCTACCTAGACGATATCCTGATTTATTCTAAGAATGTTG